TTGACACACATACACCTACCTCCTGGAGAGTGTTCTTGATCTGGCCAACTGTTGTGAAGGGTGTTTTCTTCACCAGGGAAAGAATTCTTCGGTCATCCACCACAGTTGTTTTCCGTGGTCTTCTGGGTCTTTTGGTTTTGCTGAGCTCATCGATGCGTTCCTTCTTTTTAAGGATGTTCAAAACAGTTGTTATGGCCACGCCTAATGTTTTTGCTATCTCTCTGATGGGTTTGTTTTGTTTTTTCAGCCTAAAGATGGCTTGCTCACTGATAGTGACAGCTCTTTTGATCTCATCTTGAGAGTTGACAGCAACAGATTCCAAATGTAAATAGCACACTTGAAATTAACTCTGGACCTTTTATCTGCTCATTGTAATTGGGATAATGAGGGAATAACACACCGGGCCTTGGAACAGCTGAGAAGCCAAATGTCCCATTACTTTTGGTCCCTTAACAAGTGGGAGGCACATATGCAAGCTGTTGTAATTCCTACACCGTTCACCTGATTTGGATGTAAATACCCTCAAATTAAATCTGATAGTCTGCAGTTAAAGCACATCTTGTTTGTTTCATTTCAAATCCATTGTGGTGGTGTATAGAGCCAAAAATGTTAGAATTGTGTCGATGTCCCAATATTTATGAACCTGACTGTACATATGGTTTTGCCTCAGAAACTGCATTTTTGATGTCACCCCACAAGTTTTCTATTGGATTAAGAACCGGGGATTGGGCTGGCCACTCCATAACGTCAATCTTGTTGGTCTGGAACCAAGATGTTGCACGTTTACTGGTGTGTTCGGGGTCGTTGTCTTGTTGGAACACCCATTTCAAGGGCATTTCCTCTTCAGCATAACCTCTTCAAGTATTCTGATGTATTCAAATGGATCCATGATCCCTGGTATGCGATAAATAGGCCCAACACCGTAGTATGAGAAACATCCTCATATCATGATGCTTGTGCAACCATGCTTCACTGTCTTCACAGTGTACTGTGGCTTGAATTCAGTGTTTGGGGGTCGTCTGACAAATGGTCTTCGGCCACTAGACCCAAAAAGAACAATCTTACTTTTCATCAGCGTCCACAAAATGTTGCGCCATGTTGCGCCATTTCTCTTTAGGCCAGTCAATGTGCTCTTTGGCAAATTGTAACCTCTTCAGCAAGTCTTTTTTTCAACAGTGGGACTTTGCGGGGGCTTCTTGCAGATAGCTCGGCTTCACATAGGCGTCTTCTAATTGTAACAGTACTCACAGGTAACTTTAGACCTTCTTTGATCTTCCTGGAGCTGGATTGTTGGCTGAGTCCTTGCCATTTTGGCTATTCTTCTATCCATTCGAATGGTAGTTTTTCGCTTTATTCCACGTCTTTCAGGTTTTGGTTGCCATTTTAAAGAATTTGTGATCATTTTGGCTGAGCAGCCTATCATTTTCTGCACTTCTTTATATGTTTTCCCCTCTCCAATCAACGTTTTAATAAAGGTACGCTGTTCTTCTGAACAATGTCTGGAACGACTCACTTTCCTCAGAATTTCAGAGAGAAATGCACTGTAACCAGCATGTACATTTGCTGCCTTCCTTCCTTAAATACGGGCAATAAATGCCACCTGTTTTTCAAAGAATGAATGACCTCATAGAACGCCACACTGCTATTATTTTGAACATGCCCCTTTCAATTAGTGATTCAATTACACAGAATCAGCAGCATGCATGTCATGACTGTTGGGTCTGTTGGATTTCTATTAATCTACTACACCTGCTAGTAAATTATTTGCCATGCAGAAATATAATTTCTACCAAAAACATTGATTGATCAGGTTAGTGATGTCTGACTGCTATTATTTTGAACACAACTGTAAATATATATATATTGTGGGGTTAGCTCAGGTGGGGGATCTCCTTCCCTGGGAAAAAGGTAGACCGCACAGCAGGCTTTCTTTAAAATCTGACTGGTTGTCAGTTTTATTTAAAAAGGTTTGAAAAAATATCAAAATCAACAAAACATCAAAATAAACCCTTGCCATCCAGGCACTAACTAAACAGGAGACATTTCCTCTCTCCTCAGAGGTGAAGGGCTTCTCCCTGTCACCCAAACAAAACAAACGCAAACCTTTTCTTGTAGGTATAGTACACACACAGCTCTCTCAGAACACCTCTCTGAGTCCCAGGCCACGAACGACTCCTTGCTCCAGCCCTGCCCTTTTTATATCACCTGTTGGTGGTCATCAGTGGAGCCCAAACTCTGGTCCGGACCCACCTGCTTAACTGTGGCCCCGAAAACCCGGAGTGGACTCCACCTAAATTGTCAGGTATGAGCGTATGCGTCCCTCTATCACCTCGCCGTTCATACTGTCACAACACACACACACACACACACACACACACACACACGCGATACCTTTGATAAGAAAAATCTTACACCATTCTTCGCTATGGAAAGGGTGCACAGCATACCTGCTCGTCCACTTCCTCTGGGCAATAACCCTCACCCTTTTATCTTGAAGCTACTCCACTACAGAGATAGGGATAATATTCTCGCACTAAGTGGCCTATTGAAATAAATGGCTCCAAAATATCCTTTTTCCTGATTTCTCGAGGGAAGTACAGAAGTTATGGGCACATTATGATGAGGTGAAACGCAGGCTTCGCAAAGTACAATTCCTGCGGGAATTATACTTTGTTTATATTTGTTTTACTTTCTTGTTTTGCAGTGTATGCAGTTTTTGAAGTTCCTGGGGAGTTATCCTTCCTCAGTTTCTGAAGATCGCAATAACCGAGACCAATACTCCTGCCCAAGTACATGCATCTCGTCACTTGTGTTACCAGACTCATCACTGCCCTGTCTACACCACTTGGAATACTCTGACCTCTAGGGTTTCTTAACCTGTTGCTTTTCCTTAGTAGAGAGAGCTGATCTTTTAAAGTTACTGTTTGCCTGTGATTCTCTACAGTCACTAACGGCTGGAGAACTGAATGTTACTTCCTGGAACGTGTGAGGCTCGAAAGACTCCAAACATAGTATTCTATCTCCCTCTGGCATACGCAAAAGTTATGACGCAATATATCGGTTTACTCGGCGTATGCATGGGGGGGGGGGGGGGGGTTGGCGGGTCAGTATCCCAATATCCTCGAAGGTTAATTTTTCCTGTCAAAAATCTATTGTAGACTTGAAAAGGGAGATATATTTTTCTGCTGCATAAGATGAACACCTTTTCCTTTTGGTTGGGCAATGTATATGTGCCTCCACCTTACAACAGCAAGGTAAACTGGATGATCGCACAGCTGATGGCGGATGACGGTGGGATTCCCTTTCTGCTGGTAGGGGATTATAATGCAGTTTGTGAACCTGGTATAGCTTTCCTCTGGGAACTCAGTCCTCTACTCCATTCACACGACAAAATAGGCTGGAGGGATGTGTGGCGGTTACGTAACCCCTTATTCTACACAATATTCTTCTTGTTCTTACCAGTCTCTATTCAGGATATAGTGTTGGGTATCGATTCCATTCTACTTTACCTTTGTTGAAGCTTCCTAGAAGGCCAGGGGTCTATCAGATCACTCTCCCCTAGTCTTAAGTATATTGCCCTCCCAGACCTCTTAGACGCTCTACCTGGAGAGTTAATCCTTTTTGGCTGAAGGTAATCCTGGAGGATGATTTTATCTAAAATTCCTTCAGGGAATTTTTCAATATTAACAGTCCGCTTCACCTATGGTTGCATGGGACACCATGAAGGCTTCCCCGTGGGGGTTGTTGCTCAAAGTGTATACAAAAAAAAAAAAAAAAAATTGGAGTTGGGAGTGGGAGACTGATGAAGTTCGTAGAACCAAAGAGCAATACTTGTCTGCCCCTTCTTCCCAGTGCCTCAGTTCCTGGAAAGACGCCCAAATACTTTATAAACAGAGGGTGCAGGACAAGGCAGAGATCAAAAATTTTTTGTTCACTGTCAATACTTTGCAGATGGTGAAGACACGGGGCACCTCCTGGCGGTTATAGCCAGCTCCCAAAACCAGACACCACATACAGTAGCTTCTATTACCACTGCTAAAAGGATACATTGCTCATGACCATGTTGTGATCTCAGACACCTTCCTAAAGTTTTATAGCGACTTATACAGTAGCAAAAGTGCACTACCCTGCGCATCACTTGATTGATTTCCTAGGCCCCTAGACTGCTGCAGATAGGAAACTATCAAACTCCACCATCATCTTAAAGGAACTGAGTGCAGTGGCGGATGAAGCCCCCACAAAAAAAAAAAAAAAATCAGCATCAAGCCTGGACAGCCTCCTATCAGAGTTATACAAGTTTTGCTACTAGAGTTGTTGGAAGTGTTGAACTCGGCCTATGAACGTCATCAACTCCCTGATTCCATGAATACAGTAGCCATTATCATTCTTGCAAAACCAGGCAAGGAGAACTTGCTTCTGAAATCCTAATGACCTCTCTCTCTTCTAAACTCTGATGTTAAATAACTAGCTAAGGTACTGGCCAATAGACTTAACAGGGTTATGCAGAAATTGGTGCACCCTGACCAACATGGAGTTTATACCAACACGATGATTTACCATCAACATACCCAGACGTTTCTTGAACCAGAAACTACCCTCAGATAATATGGGAGATAGGGCCATTCTATCATTGGATGCGGCCATAGCTTTCAATAGTGTGGAGTAGCCATATCTTTGGAAGGTACTGGACGTGTTAAGTCTGGGAGCCCTGGTCCTTCAGACTCGTTGCTTAGAGGTTTTGTTTGAAACCACAGACCTGCACAATCCAAACACATACACTGAAAATCATAAAATGTTCTGGTACTAGTAGGTCAGTCAGAAGAAGAGGGCATACTGTGTTATTTACATATTATACCCCACTCCTTCTCTTCCAACATTCAGTTAATGACTAGTCTGACAATAGCAGAAATAGTAGCTATACATGTTACATTAAAAACATTTAATACTATAATTTACATGTTGTGGAAGTATTGGAATTGAAAAGGTTATCATTAACTCACCGATACACTGTTCCAAGTTGAATGTAATGAAAAGAATCAATCTTCATCAATAGTGCCTTTTGAAAGAAGATAAATTGTGAAAAATTTGATAACCAATTAGAATAAACATCACTGGCAATTGTTTCTAACTCGCAGAACTTAACATTTCACATTTATGGTGCTCTTATGCAAAAAACACCACAACACACATCAAACAAGAGAGTGTACATTCGATACTCAGCTAGAGACGAGTTCAGAGGATGACTGCTGCTCATCCACCCAGTAAGTCATATCTAAGTTGATCTAAACCTGAACAAAACCCACCCAGTGTACACGAACTGACAGGGAGGAGACCAGTTTTGTTTACAAACAGTTCTCCACCCTCGGCAATCACCGGCAAGTAAATCACTTATTGACAGCCGCGGCCACGAATGGCGATTCGGGTAGGGCACACGCGCCTCCTGCCTGGAAATGCAAAATCACGTGTATATTACACACGCCGCCCTGTAGCAGTACTTCTGCTATAGGGCGGACAGGAAGCGGTTAAAGTGATTGTAAAGCTTGGCTTTATTTATTAAAATAAACATTTTACACTTACCTGCTCTGTGCAATGGTTTTGCACAGTGCTGCTCCAATCCTCTTCTTCTCCACAGGTCTTCCGCTGGTGCTCCTGGCTCCACCCCCACCAAGTGCCTCCAGTGCAAGCCACTTGCTCTGGGGGGCACTCATGCATGCCCGCTTCTGAGCAGATTCTGTGTGTCCACAAGACACATAGAATGGGGCTTGGCCCCACTCCCAGCTCATCACTGGCTAGGATTGACAGCAGCAGGAGCCATTGTATCTGAGCAAATGAGGAGCGAGAGAGCCTCTGCTCTCATACACATAGCTGGACCGATATCGGGCTCAGGGATCTATTTAGGGTGCTGTAGGGGAACCTGCATGCAGAAGGTTTTTTTCCCTTAATGCAGTAAAGGTAAAAAAAAAATATATTCTGCCTTTAAAAATTACTCGAAAGACTACAAAAAAAAATAAAAAACACATTCACTGACTTGGCTGTAATATTTGCAGCAATGTTAAAATGTCTAAAATGCCAATGCTTTTTTTTCCCCACTTTGGATCTTTGGATAGAGTACGAAATGGCCAATATCAATTAAGGAAATTTCACTTTCTGATCTATAGACACGAACGGTGAGAAAATCTCTGAGGAAAATCCTATTGACGTTTGTCACAGGAACAAGTGTCCCCATTGTAATCTTTTTTTCTATATTCCTAATCTGTTGACAATATTTTTTTAGAATTTTCTTCTTTTTAAAGACCATTGACAGTGGTCACCAGGACAAGATGAAGAGAGAAAATCTCTCTAAGCAAGGTCACAGAGGGTGATGGGGCCCCACAAGGGTTCTATCCAAAACTGAGAAAGAAAAAAAAAAAAAAAAAAAAAACCAACACATAACAACCCACACCTTTGGCTTTAGATACAAGCAAAAATGGTACAAAGAGTTGAATACTTTTGCACAGTGGTGTCATTTAAACCTAGTGCCCATGCTGCACACAATTTTAGGTGCAATCTGTAAAAGTCTGTAGAATTTAGGCCTGGCTATTTTGCTTAGGAACTATATGGGAGACTTAGTCCAATCTCAAAATCTGCGCCACTGTATTTTATGTGGAGGGATTGAAAACTTCTTAGCCTCATCACCAGAGGGCGGAACAATCCACAAAATTGTGAATATGGATAGTCCGTAAAATGTCCATTGTATGTGTACTTGTGTTTGTGATACGCGTGTCATTTACGCTGCTGCAGGAATTTAAGCAACCTACACACCACATTTTTCAAAAATGGCTTTGGACTGCTGATAAACAACATGTGCATTTCCAAACATCATCTGACTTCCAGGACATCAAACCTGTCCATGACGTTTGCAGGATCAGCTTAAAAAAAGGACTAGCAAGTCAGATAATGGCTGGAAAAAGCACACATTGTTGATCAGCAGCCAAAAGCCATTTTTCAAAAACTGTGGTGTGTAGCCCATTTAAGTTCCTGCAGTGGGGTAAATAATGCACATACCACAATGAAACCAAGCACACATACAACAAACACTTTACTGATTTTCCCTATTCAAAATTAAGTGGATTATTCCACCCTCTGGTGATGAGGCTAAAAACATGTTTTAATCCAGCCTAGTATTACAATTTAGAGATCAGCTCAATTTACACAAATTTAATGGTACAAGTCTTACCTTATGAACATCATAATGTAGACCCCGAATTGCAAAGTTTGGATTGTATTCATATTTTTTGAATTTCATTTGGATACTGGAAAAAAAAAAAAAAAAAAAAAAAAAAAAAAAAAAAAAGGGAAGGTGAAGAATAGATAAGACTATATTAACCAATATAGCCACTAAAGCCCCAGTCCTGACTTTATATAAGACACACACAAATGCTCTATTCTCTTGGCTCCTCTGCACAATGGCAGTTATACTCAACAGAAAGCTCTGCCAGAGTTGATGTAGAAGGGAAAAGTGATACTTATCGGTTCTCAGGTCACTCTGGTCCAGTCACATGATCAGCTCCTCTGTCAGCTAGCAGCATCTTCAGTGTAGAGGAGAAAGCCAACAGCAGATGGCCCATAGTAAGCCTATGGGTGATATCACTGTTCAGGCATTAGTTATTGAAGCATTCCCTTCTCTGCCCTGTAGCCGGGTGCTAGCTGACACAGGGGAGTTCACATGAAGAGTAGGTAAGTATATGCATCCTTCTTCCGCAGGGTAGTAGGTACAGGTTTTGGAACGGGGATGGGAGCAGTTTTAAGAGTAGATTTGTTTTTTATCCCAGAATTCCATTTTAAATGGGACTTTCAAGGTACAAAAATACAGTCATACAAATTTTGAGTCTAAAATCCAATAGTATACCTATGATTATTAAACCATCACCAAAACTGTGATAGTGGTTGGGGGACTGACACTTCAAACAAAACAGTTCTCTCCCCGGTTAGCTCCTGCACACTGCTTTACATGGCTGTGCATAGCAGTGTGCTTACAGTGAAGCACAAACACAGGACACGATGTAAAATGTCACACAGTTAACCCTTTGATCACCCTCATGTTAACCCCTTCCTGCCCATTAGTACAGTGTGAGTGCTTTTTATTAGCACTGATCACTATATTGGTGTCACTGGGGATGTCAGTGACACCAAGTCAGTCCCCCCCCAGTATCAGAATGCCCGCCGCAGTTCTGCTACAAGTCGCTGATCGCCACCATTGCTAGTAAAAATAAAAAATCCCAGCATCTATACTGCCATTTGTAAACGCTATAACTTTTACGTAAACCAATTAATTTACACGTATGGGATTTTTTATTAGCAAAGACATGCAGCAAAATACATTTTAGCCTAAATTTTAATTACATTTTTTAACTGAACATGTTTAATTGCAAAAAGTCAAAACTATTGTTTTTTTCCACCTCAAAATTGGTCTTTTTTTTCTTCATAGCGCAAAAAAAATAAAAACCGCACAGGCAATCAAATAACACCAAAAGAAAGCTCTATTCGGGGGGGGGGGGGGGGGGGGGGGGGGGGGGGGGGGGGGGGGGGGGGGGGAATGTCATTTGGGTGCAGCGTTGCATGGCCGCGCAATTGTCAGTTAAAGTAACGCAGCGGCATAACGGAAAAAATGGCCTGGTCAGGAAGGGGGGTAAATCCTCAGGAGGGCAGGTGGTTAAAAGGGGTTAATCCTCTTGGAATCCACACAGATTTACTGTAAACTAACATTTCTACACAATATATATTTAAAAACCAATAGATATAGCTAACGGAAATATTAAATTTTATAAAATCACAAGCTTCCCACATACAGTAATAAAAACAAAACAAAATCACTATTAACACTTATGTTTGCCACACAATCAAATCTGGTCAGAAAACAAATTGTATAGATCCTTGTTCTCAGTGTAGAAGGAGTCAACACCCTGGATATGTACCATATGAAAATAAATAAATGGGAGGACACCACACTGATAAACATACACAAGTAAAAACCAGCTTGACCAAGCTTGGACATTTTTATTAGTATAATTAAGCTTCAGGGACACTGTTGGCGCTATGTAAATCCTTGATGATGATAATAAAATACAATTTGCGCAGCACTTTTCAAAATAAAGGCAGACGTTACAGTACATATCAATATGAATCAGAGGGCCCTGATACCTTAAAGCTTACAATCTAGGAAATCTTTTGATATCTAGGGAATAGGTAAAAAAACATCTTTTTTTTGTCCTATTACGGAAATGTCCCCTCCTACTGACCAGGAGACTAAAGCTGCCCACAGATGAATCATAATTTAGCCAGTTCAGCATGGACTAGCCCTCGTTTGATCCATATATGGTCATTCAAGGATTGACATCTGTTGAATGCAACTTTTGGCAAACTTTTGTGGATTAGCAGCTAGCAGCAATTCAACTGCAACTGATGATCAATGTATTCAGACATTGGAGGAGTCCCACTGTCAGAATACAATAGCTCGGCGGCAAAAATACCCACACACAACCTACACCATCTATGGCCTATAGCCAGAGATTTCTCTTCTTGCCATCTTCAGCCCGTATGCTTGGTATGTTGGGCAGCTTCCCATGGGGGCATTTGTACATGCTCATTCCCAAGCCACCGCTGCTGCATCCATTGACACAGACAGCAAGACTTGGTCCTGCCCCCCACTCCCTCATCAGTGGCTTTGACTGCACAGTGCTGGGAGCCAATGGCTCCCTGTGTCCAAGCAAGACATGAAAGAGGGGAGAGAATAACTGCAGGTGTGCACAGCTCTGGATCGAATGAGAGCACAGGTAAAAGTAAAAAGGGGGGGTGAGGGGGGGATGCTGATGCCTAAACATTTTTTACCTTAAATGCAAGGAATACATAAAAGAAAAAAATGTTTAGGCTTTAGAACCACTTTAAAAATGCTGATTCTTTAAGGAATTCAATAGAAATGCATTTACACTTAGCAAACACATGAGCCAGAAGAAAAAATTGACAGCATCTCAACTGGACTTTTAGGTTTCATCTTCCCAAAGAAAAATTTCCCACTATTCACCCTCACTCATTTATGTCATCAGATTTCGGCAGCACCTATAATTTGTGAGCAACTATTTCCAAAGGATGAAGCACACGAAGGGCAAATTAGTACGAAACTATCTGAAGAGGACCTTGAGAATTCATTGATTGATGAATTGCTACTACACCCATTGAACCAGATATTGTTGCGTTAGTTTATCAAACACAGTGTTAAATATCACACTAGTTTTATGCTGCGCTCTTACTTTTCGAATAAAAAAAATTTTAAAAAGTGAATTTTTATTACTCATATAGGTACATTATCTATATCAGTGACCGTTAACTTGTGGTCTGGCCAAATATTTCTGCTCATCAGCTATCCTTATTTTTAATGTATTTTGTGTGTTGCCCATGACAATTCCTCTTCTTCCAGTGTGGCCCAGGAAAGTCAATAGGTTGGACACCCCTGCTTTAAATAGAATATTAAAGCCAGTGTAAAAATATTGTATAGTGGATTATAACAAGTTTGGTGGATCTCCTAGGAATACATTTATAAGATACAGATGCTGCGGACCTTCTGCAGTGGGGAATTCTAACTGAAAATGACACCAAAAAAAAGCATGGGTTTAATAAAAAGTACAGAAGAACTTAAAGATAATCTTACCTCCACAATGCCATAATAGTCAAGTAGAGCAGAAATGCAAGGGGTTGCTATAAGACACACATCACTGATTTCTGCTAAAGTTGCAGAACCAGGATTTTCAGAAAAAAGATATCTTATAACTGTACAGTTTATCCTGACCATCATGCTTGTGCAAATCAATGCTTCTAGCCATTACAAAATAGGCCATGGGATTTACCTGCGATTTATGGCAGAAACCAGCGCAATCAAGAAAACATAGGAGGCCAAAAGATATACTCATTCAAAGAGATGATGATCCACAGAGGAGGGGGGAGTGGGTGGGTGTGTGCATGTCCTCAAAAATTTCAAGTGTTTTCTTTTACCACAAATTTTTTTTTTCTTCTGGATTGAAAGATCCAAATATTGAGGGTAAAAATCCTTCAGTGGGGAATACCCATTCTGGTGACAACTTACATAAAAAGGGGATTGCCCACATTTTGTATCAATTTCCTCTCACTTCCTGCTGCACCTTAGAGAAAAAGTGAAAGGACATTGGGACGTAGACAGGAACTTCCATCTTGCTTGAGGCGATTATAGCTGTATTAGTGCACTTGCGACAGAAACAGTTGGGTGCTGTCCATGATCTTTTTTTTTTTTTTTTTTTTTTTTTATTTGCACTGACATACAATTTTTCATATTGTATGTTAGTGCAGAAAAAAAAATGGATATCATTGACAGTACAGTGTGTTTCAAACACAGACAGGAACACAAAAAGAAACAATCTGGACAGGAGTTTTCATCATTTCCCTACTTTACCCCCAAAAAAAACTACAAAGAAAACACAACAGTTGATAAGAACTAAGATAAAGGGTCCACACAGGCCAAAAGTTTGATCCATGCATGGCTATTCCAGTTCATGAGAAGTTAATCTATTGATCGCAAATTTCAGTTCGATCAGCTGCCACATTGATCAGTGTATTCTGACAGCAGACAGGTGGGGGGGGGAAGAGTGTCCCTGCTGTCAGAATACAAAAACACAGCAGAGAGGGTTCCTGAATCGGCTGGCTGAACAAAACAAAATGGCCCGTGTATAGGCAGCTTAATACCGAAATAAAAAAACTCAAATAACTTTTTAACTCTGATAATTTGCATCACAACTGAACACTGTACATCCAGTCTAAAACATGGCTGCTTGTGAACTCCCCAGTACATCCTCTTAGTCATTACTGTATATGACAATGTGGAGCATACGTCTAGGCTCTAGACATTTGCCTTTCATATTTAGTTCACTCAGGCAAAAAAAAAAAATATTTTTTTTATGAGTCTCATCTTACCCGATGCTCGTTGATTAGTAGATCTCTAGCAGTATTGAAAATCAAGGTGTGAAGATCTTTAGAGTAAAAGGCTAGTGTGTAGTCGTAATCAAAGCCATAAATTTCAATGTCAGCAAGACTCATCTCATTGTTAGCAAAGATGGCACTTGGATTGAACAGATTGCTAGAAATGGCGGGAATGAGCTCTGCAAGAGACAAAAAATTCAATATCAGACCCAAGATGAAATAGAAATTTTCTTCCAAAGAAAAAAAAAAAAAATACAACACAAAGCTTGTTGCTCCAAAATGCTGTAAAGGCTCATTCACACCAGCAAGTGTGCATTAAGGTGCACATAACACATGAGCTGCAATGGATTGTTAAATTGCAATGTAGTGCTTGATCTTTTTCACATCTGTGCGTAACGGTTATGCATTGCAGCTTGTTCTACATTTTTTGTTTTAGTACACGCTGGTGTAAATTCAAGCCATAATACATAAAAAAATTTGTTCAGGGAACTGTAATGGGCAACACTACCCAATGAAGCTGGTGTGAAGGAGCCATAAAGCTTTCCTCCAATGCATACATATTTAGAGACTGAACAAATGCAAACATTTGATGAGCTATGTGAAAGACATAGAATTGTCTAGTTAACCTTTTTAATGCTATTGATATGACCTGAAGAATATACCAAAGCCTAAAGCTACCTCCCCATAGACAAACAAAAACTATTACCACTCGAACATGTTTGAGTTTTTGGAATGTAAACAGTAGTAGAGTAACTGAATTTCACCTGGTATTAGCCTCTGGAAGAAGCAGCGTAAAATCAATCAGCTCAAGTTCTGAAAAAAAGTAACATGCCAATAGGAGGAGAGAGCAGAGTGACAAAGATCAGCTCATTTACTGCTACTTCTTTCCCTGTCAAGTCAGGCTGATCCAGGATGACCTGGGGTCACAGGAAGTGGACTGAATGATGCTGGCCATCAAGACTGATGACGTCAACCACAGGGGTGGACAAATTAATATGGAATTCAGAAGCACATCTGTGTAATGCACGTGCCAGGAGGATGATTTTTTTTTCCCCCTTTACGAGCAAGCTCCATTGACAACAACTAGAGAAAACCCTCAAACGATAGACACCAGCTTTAATTATTAACCACTTGCCCTCCAGAAGATATACCCTCCTTCCTCACCAGGCCATTTTTTGCGATACAGCGCTGCGTTACTTTACCTGACAATTGCACGGTCATGCAACGCTGTACATAAATGAAATTTATATCCTCTTTTTCTCCCCACAAATAAAAAAAAAAGTTTTCCTTTGGTGGCATTTGATCACCTCTGCCTTTTTTAATTTTTTTGCGTTATAAACAAATAAAATTTAAAAAAAAAAACAAACCCACTATTTTTTTTACTTTTTATTAACAATTAAGTGCAGCGCTATCAATAGCGTAAAAAATACTAAAAATTTAATAAAATCTAATTTAAATAAAAATAAAAGCAATACTAAAAAACAAACACACACAGGTGGCGACAAAGTCCATATAGGATCCACATATACAGGTAGGAGTTGGTGCTTGAAAGAGAGCCAGATTCAGAGAGAATCTAGAGTGTCCTTCCAAGCTCTATATTAAGTGCTCAATACAGCATGCTGGATATGTCCCTGATGAAGTCTCTGATGACGAAACACGCAGGGTGTAGTCACGCTGGGTAACTATGTTGGGTTGGTCAAATTTTCTGGTCAGAGGCTTTTATATTGGGTGGAAGTTGACAGTTTCCGCAGGATCCTATATGACCACCTGTGTTTGAATAAACTAATACTAAAAAAACTATATTTACTATTTTTTACTCTTCTGGTAGCGCTGCACTGAATTGTTAATATTTGTTACTTTTTGCCTATTGAATGTGCAAGCTGCTTTATTGCTTTGATAGTTTGGTGTCTAAGCACAGATGGGTTTTTTTTTTCCACATTTAAACATCCATGGCAAAAAAAAAAAAAAAACCCCACAACATCTCTTTATAAATTTAATCCAAAATGTATTCTGCTACAGGTCTTTGCTAAAATAAAATCCCAATACATGTAAATTAATTGCGTTACATGAAAGTTATAGAGTCTACAAATGGCAGTATATATACACTGGAATTTTTTACATTTTTTTTTTATACTAGTAATGGCGGCGATCAGCGACTTATAGTGGGATTCTGGCTCTGGGTGGGAACTGACTAACTGCCACTGACATCCCAATGACACTAATACAGTGATCAGTGCTAATAAAAAGCACTGACACTGCACTAACACTAGGCAGGAAGGGGTTAACATCTGGGGCAAAGGGTTAACTGTATGTGGTTTAACATTATGTGCTGTGTGTGTTTTACTAGGGAGACCTGCTGCTTTATATTTCTCTGCAGAGAAATACAAAGCAGCATGTCCTTGCTGGCAGGAGAGAGACCTGTGTTTACACACAGGTCTCTCCCCTGTCAGTTTTTACACAACAATCGCTGGCTCTTGGTGGGGAATCTCCGGCCGGGACCCAGTGACTGACATCCGTAGCCACAAAAGGCGGTGCGGGTAGGACCACAGGAAAAGGGCTGCAGGAAAGCGGTTAAAAAGCATTGGCTACCGGGCTCCTGGGATTTGCCCAACCATGATTTAGCAGAAGAAAAAAGCACTGCTTAGAAAAACTCTGGATTGAAGATGATTACTGCAAAAGTTGGTTTTAGGTTTTAATGGGCTATTCCTTTTTGCTATAATTAATTGGCGTTCTCTTTTAACTATGGCTATTCAGGAACAGGAAGCCACTGACAGCAATTAAGGCAAAATGTTCCCCACTCTTCCATGTGTCTATTTGTCTGTAAACCCATTGAAGAAATCTCCCATCACTCCTGTCGTAATATGCATAAAATAAGCAGAAATCTCTACAAAGGACATAAATGCAAAACAAAAAAACCACAAACTGATGGGGGATGCAAACTTTCTCAACTCTATCCAAAACGAAAAAAAAGTTTTGGTTCCATTTGGACTTTAACGTTATGTGCAGATAATACTGTATAAATTTCAGCGGAGAAAAACAAAACAAATATAATAAAAAACACACACACACACACACACACACACACACACACACACACACACACACACACACTTGCAGTGGGTTCCTGTCCCCACTGCGAGGGTTAGCTGCCTGTTTTGCCTAAAGGATTATGAATAAGGCACTATACTTACCTTATTTCTTACTCTATGGGAAGCTGCTGTGGGCTACTCACCTTCCAGAGCGTTGAACAATGGAGGAGATCAGTGGCTAGTGGCTGCCAAAGAAGGGAGGAATGAGGCATGTTATATATATATATATATATATATATATATATATATATATACACACACATATACATATACACTTAATTCATCATCTTCTGGGCAAAACAAGCAGTTAATCCTTGCAGTGGGAAGGGGGCCAGCTGTAAGTATTAACCTCCCTCCCCCCAAGAGTTCAACTATAAACCCCACTGACAGGTTCTGCTTATGCGAGAAAGACCATGCTAGATTCCAGATATTTAAGAAAAAAAATGCAGAATATAATGTTTACTAAACTATACATCACACTTTGAGAAATAAAAGGGTCATTCAGTTTCATAGCAATGGGGATTGGTTATTATATTCTACATTCTAAAAACCAACCCTGCACTCTCATACTTATGTAATGCCTAGATACAGGCAGCAACCAAGTAATCCTTACATAGGCAAAATGTCAATGGCTTACATAGTATAGGATGTGGATTTTCCCCCATACAGGAAAAAAAAAAAAAAAAAAAAAAGCTGAAAACTACCAAGTTTTCAAGTCTTCCTTGGCAGGTCTCAGTCACCACAGGAAAGCAGGGGAGTAGAGTTGACTATTATGCAATGTTACTTCTAGACTGAAAAGGAACATCCACTTTTTTTTTATCCTTTTCCTGGGGCTACAAAAGGTGACAGTTAAATATTGTGGATTAAAGTTATTTTGGCCTCATTTTGCAAAAATTTCCAGAACAAATTTAGAGTGTCAAAAAAAATTCTACCCTGCCCCAAAATAAACAAGCAAATGCAATCCTGTTGGGGTTCAGTTAAGTTTGTGTTTTTATTATTCAGATACAGCAGCACTTTCTGAGTCAAACCTAAACTGTGCTGCTCAGGAGTTCTGAGTAATTGTGTTTAGCGGTGTTTCATGTCAGGGAAAAGCTCACAATTACTGAGCAACCAAACAAACTATTGAAAAATTAGCCAGTTAGAAATAACTTTACTGCTTAGTAAGACGGAAAAAAAAAAAAAACAAAAAAAAAAAAAAAAAAAAAAAAAAAGTGTGTGTGACGCGAGGGAATAAATGGAAATATGCAGACTTCTGACTGAAAAAAAAAAAATTAATTCAAATGCACTTCATACTCAGAAAAACAAAGCCCTGATTAGTATTGCTTTAAGTCTATTTGGAAACTAAAGGAACTTCTTCCAATGATTCACTGTGGGAGCCAGACATTTAAAGAATAATACTTCATACACAAAAAGACAATTTAGTGCAAAGACTTTTCTGAGGAAAAGGTGAGACAGTTCTGCAGAAACTAGTACTGTGGCCAAGAGCAGTAGATTTAATACTGTAAGTTTCCAGGTACTTTCCAAGCGGAAGATTTCAAACTTAAGTTTTTTGTTTTTTTTAAATCAGAAAGTGAAGGTTTATTAAACTTTTAGACATACAGTTCAATACAAAAGAACAAGACAGAAATAGTTTACTGCTTTTCTAAAAATGGTTAGCTGTGAACACTACACACACACACCAAAGTCAAACCAACATCACAGTAGTATACGGACATGGATTCAGCTTACATAGAGCAAAAAGCCAAGTAAGTAGAGGCCTCAGTAACTTTCAGCTCAACATATAGGCAGTCTCAACCCTGACTCCCATGGAAATGTGGGCTAGGCCCGGTCAGCAGAGGAAATTACAGCAATCCATGTTGCACTAAATCCAGGGGTAGCCAATCAGGGCTCTCACAATTTTTTTAATTTTGCAGGGCATCTACGGTGAAGATATATTAACCCATCATATTGTAGGGTATTTCCCACAGCATGTATCCACTCGTCCAAAGTGGAGGGTGTGGGGGTCTCAGATTTCCAGTTCTGACAGAGCAATTTATGAGCCTAAAATAGCACTTTGGATAATGACGTAATCTGATAAGACAGCAAGTTAC